GTGTCTGCCAAATGCAAGTGATGGTGGTTGCCTGCCCTCTGTGGCCAACTCTGAATAAACAGCCTTTACTTACTCTCATTTGGGTGGCTGTGTTCATTTCCACAAGATCTTTAGAAGTATAAGGAAGTGGGTATGTACAGGGTAAGGACGTCTTTGCAAGAAAAGCTCAGATAATCTGAAGGATGTCCTATCATTAGGCTGGCTCCAAAAGCTCAGCACAGCCTCCCAAATACACATGTACGAGCACACACACACCCTACATGCACATACATACAATATGCACACACGTACAATAGATGGTACTCTGGGATTCCTTTTGAACCCCAGAAAGTGAGAAGGCAAAGGAAAATTAGAACAGGAAAAGATGGAAAAGTGGGGGCAGACAAAGGGAGGGGAGTGGCATTTGAAAGGGGAAGGAAGTGAGGAGAAAGGATGGAAGAAGCAGCCAAAAGAGATCCAAAGCCCGTGCTGTCCCATGCCTCTCACCCATTCCCTACAACCCAGATGCCCATGAAGATAAAGTAGGGTAACAGCCAAGATGACATCCCTCAACTCATTCCCTTTATTTTTTATTTATTTTATTTTATTTATTTTATTTATTTATTTATTTTGAGACAGCTGTTGCCCATCTCAGCTCACTGCAACCTCTGCCTCCTGGATTCAAGCAATTCTCCTACCTCAGCCTCCTGAGTAGCTGAGATTACAGGCACCTGCCACCATGCCTGGCTTTTTTTTTTTTTTTTTTTTTTTAAGTAGAGATGGGGTTTCGCCATGTTGGCCAGGCTCGTCTTGAACTCCTGACCGCAAGCGATCCGCCCGCCTCGGCCTCCCAAAGCACTGGCATTACAGGCGTGAGCCATCGCACCTGGCCAACTCTTCCTCTTTTGTAGGAAGTTCATTTCTGGCCTGCAGAGTCCTCTTCCCTGAATCGTGTGCACTTAGGCCACTTACGGTCTAATGCTGACCTTTGACGGATCAAGGAGCAGAACTGGGCAAGAGACTACAGTGGAAGTGGCAGAGTCAGAGACCTCCATCTTAAGTTCCCTCCGTCTGGGGACTCTTTCTCTCTTCTCTCTCAGTGGCCTCAGACATTAAATAATTTAGGACAGATACATTTAAAAGTTCATTCTCAGTCGTGTCTGAGGAAGTATGTCTGAGTCCGAGGGCGTTTGAAGGCATGTGAGGGGCAGGAAGGCATGTGAGGGGCAGGAATGCAACTTCAGAAAAGCTGTGCTTCGTCTTCAGGTCTCAGCCTCTCCTTCCTGAGCTCCTTCCCTGTTTCGCTTCTTCTACACATCTATACAGAAACTGTCTGTCCGTCTCTCTTTTCTTAAGAATCCAGAATCATTCAGAACCCTGTCAGGGCCAGGTGTGGTGGCTCACGCCTGTAATCCCAGCACTTTGGGAGGCTGAGGTGGGCAGATCATGAGGTCAGGAGCTCAAGACCAGCCTGGCCAACTTGGTGAAACCCCATTTCTACCAAAAATACAAAAATTAGCCAGGCATAGTGGCGCACACCTGTAATCCCAGCTACTCAGGAGGCTGAGGCAAGAGAATCACTTGAACCCGGGAGGCGGAGGTTGCAGTGAGCCAAGATCACACCACTGCACTCCTGCCTGGGCTGGGCAACAGAGTGACACTCTGTCTTTAAAAAGATATAGATATATATATGACTGCTATTTAAAAGGACTTCACTCAATGAGGGTGGATATAGCTGAATCATTTTCTTGGGAGGAGCATCTCCTGGCTCCCCAAAATCTCTCCGCAGAAACTTGTGATAAGCCTGAGTGTGAAGGAATGGTGTGAGGGGGGAAACATCCAATTGCAGGAAGGTGAGAAACAAGGAGATGGAGTCTGATGGGCTCCAGAAGGTATGAGTGCAACTGGCCTACTTCAAGTCCTTGGGAGCCCGAGTCTGTCCTCCTTAGAAAGTGACTCTGCAGTGAAGACATCAGATTTCTTAGTACTTTTCCCAAAATGCCATCTTCTCTGTCACTGAACATGGCTGGGCTATCCAGGTCCCAAGTTTGAATTTTTGAAGGGAGGACAAACTTGAGAGTTCAGGGCAGTCTCCCCAGACCACAGTCACGTCAGGAAACCACACCAGTAACTGGCCTGCTCCCAGGCTTTGGTGGGGAGATGAAGGGAAGTACATTTTTGCCCTTTTCACAGAGTGCCTGGAAATGAATCCCTGAAATCCTCCTAAAGCCAAAGGCAGCCCTAGAAGGTTAGAGCTACATCTTAGAAACAGATATGGGAAGACCCACTTCTCCCATGTTCTCTCAAGTAACACATCTGCCCCCATTCCAATCTACACAGTTTTGCTGACTGCAGCAAAGTCCAATTTGAATTGCAGGAACTTGGGAGACTTTATGATCCTATGGGCAAAAGAGTCCTTAGGAGACAGTATAGCTCCTCAAGTCCAATCCAAAACTAAGCATTTATAGGCCTCAACTGAGACACCTCCTCCCCAGTGAAACATTTTGCACTTTTTTCCTAATTTCTGTCTCCTGTCCACATCACAACGTTTTGCTTCATGTGACAAACCAACTACTGAAGGGGAAAATGCAACTATGGCTGTGCTGGCTGTCATTCCTGTGTTTATTCCCCTTTTATAAGACTCTCCACCTCTCTGTCCGTTAGGCTCCCACTCCCACCCCCGCCCCCACCTCCACCCCACAGCATGAACTGGGATAGAAAGAGGTTCTGATGCTTGAGCCCTTGACTGAGGCCCAGGAGGCACAGTTTCTACTTTCCCAGACAGTAGCCCTGACTGGCCTGTGAGCCCACTAGGTGCAGTCAACAGTCCGGTCTCCAGAACACACAGGGGGCCTCCACCTCCCCTGGCGCCACCATCCCAACCTCCTGACACTATCAGTTTTCCTCCCTCTCGTTATGTCCCTTCCCACCCCCGCAGACCAGCCCTGGTCTTGCAAAATGGAAATCAGAAGTTGCCAGTGTGTCTAAAGAAAGATAGAGACTTCGTTGACTGTGGTTCCTGATTACAGGAACTTCTGTTCTGATTACAGTTCTGATTACAGGAACTGATTACAGGTCTTCTGTAATCAGGAACCACAGATTCCCTTTCAGCCTGGGTTGTTCAGTGATCTCTTGACTTCATCCATTTTCCGAGAACTTTTCCTATCCCTGACTTAACCCACCAACACCACCATTCCCCTCTAGAGCAGGCACCAGTGCCTCCCACCCCTTCCCTAAGGGACAGCCCACCTGCCCCAGTCCCTCTAAGAGCTTATTGCTGAGGTCGTTAAAGTATGAACTTTTGACCAGGACTCCCACATGAAAGAAAATACAGATATTTACCTTTGAACTCAAGGAACAAAAAGACCCAAGCAATGTAACTTCCTCCCATTGTACTTCCAACCAAATAACTTCCTCCCACTGTACACAGGAGGAGACTGAGGGCCAGGGCAGACCGAGGTCAGACAGCACCTTGGCAGCAGAGGTGGAAAGCATCCTCGGCCCTGGCTTCCCCACTCTGTGTGGCAGCATTCTCACTATACCATGCTGGCAGGTACGCTTCAAGTGGGGAGACTGCCTCCAGGATGTGCACCCAAAGGGCTGCACTTACAGTGAAACTGATCTCTTCTTCTAGGTCTGGATTTCCCCTAGAGTCCTCCCACATCTCTTCCTGCTGGGAATTGTGGTGGGAGAAAACAGACGGCTTCGCTGCTGACCCCTTCCGAGGAGTTGCAGCACTGGGGACTCCTTCTGAGGTCTCATTAGGGGCCCTTCACTGGGGCAGCTGGAGTGTGGGTGAGCAGGTCAGGCCTCCCGCTCTTCAGTCCGTGGGGGCATTTGTTGATTCCACAGTGACACTGGAGGAGGGGAAGCCTTCTTAGGGGGATGAGGCCTCTAGGAGGACAGCTCCTCCAAGCAGTAGCCTCCCTCTCTTTGAAGAGGTCTCACATGCTGGCTTCATCAAGGAAGCAAGGTCTGGAGGAAAATGATTGCTTAGAAATGTTTCTGGTTGGGCGCAGTGATGCATGCCTGTAATCCCAGCACTTTGGGAGGCCCAAGTGGGCAGATCACTTGAGGTCAGGAGTTCGAGACCAGCCTGGCCAACACGACGAAACCCCGTCTCTACTAAAAATACAAAAATTAGCCAGGTGTGGTAGCACATGTCTGTAATCCAAGCTTCTAGGGAGGCCGAGGCAGGAGAATTGCTTGAACCCAGGGGTGGACGTTGCAGTGAGCCAAGATCATGACACTGCACTCCAGCCTGGGTGACAGAGTGATACTCTATCTCAAAAAAACAAAACAAAAACAAACAAAAAAAAAACAATGTTTCCTATCACATCTTCCATCTCCTGCCTCCGCCTTCTGTTAATCTTGAGGACTGTCACAATGGCATGACCGTGCCTCTTTTTCCATAGGAGGACATATTGCCAAGGGACAAAGCACATGGATGGGGGAGCCTATCAGGCCTATCAAGGTGAAGAGAGGCCAGTGTTATCTCATTTAGAGAACAAGACTCACATTTGCTTAAATAGAGCCTGTTATCTGTCACTAAATTCAGTCTTCTGACCCATTGTCTGACCTGCTTCCCTCACTCCAATCCAATCTGGCTGAGTTCCTGCCCACTGAACATGGTTCTTATCACACACGTCCATGTGAAGAGAGTCCACCAACAGGCTTTGTGTGGGCAACAAGGCTGTTTATTTCACCTGGGTGCAGGCGGGCTGAGTCTGAAAAAGGAGTCAGCAAAGGCTGGTGGGATTATCATTAGTTCTTATAGGTTTTGGGATAGGCGGTAGAGTTAGGAGCTATGTTTTGTGGGCAGGGGGTGGATCTCACAAAGTACATTCTCAAGGGTGGGGAGAATTACAAAGAACCTTCTGAAGGGTAGGGGAGATTACAAAGTACATTGATCAGTTAGGGTGGGGCACAATGATGAAATGTCATCAGTTAAGGCTGCTTTCACTTCTTTTGTGGATCTTCAGTTGCTTCAGGCCATCTGGATGTATACGTGCAGGTCACAGGGGATGTGATGGCTTAGCTCGGGCTCAGAGGCCTGACATTCCTGTCTTCTTATATTGATAAGAAAAACAAAACAAAATAGAGGTGAAGTGTTGGGGTGGTGAAAATGTTGGGGGGTGGTATAGAGAGATAATATGCGATGTTTCTCAGGGCTGCTTCAAGTGGGATCAGGGATGGCGTGGGAACCTACAGTGGGAGAGATTCAACTGAAGAAAGGTTTTGGGGTAAGGGGGATATTGTGGGGTTGTTAGAAGGAGTGTTTGTCATATAGAATGATTGGTGATGGCCTGGATGTGGTTTCGGATGAATTGAGACACCAAAGACACAAGGTCTGAATAAGAGAAGAAAAGCAGGTATTAAAGAACTAAGAATTGGGAAGACCCAGGACATCCAATTAGAGAGTGTCCAAGAGGGTGCAGTGTAATTACTTGCTTGGTTGTTGAGTTTTTGGGCTCTATTCTTGACAGAGTCCTTTTTGTTAAGTTGGAGGCTGAGCTTGGGTGAGGTGTGTTTTTAAAAGACCATCAGTCTGTTCTACCTTTCCTGAAGACTGAGGACAGTAAGGGGTATGAAGTTTCCACTGAATATCAAGAGCCTGAGAAACTGCTTGTGTGATGTGACTAATAAAGGCCAGTCCATTATCGAACTGTATAGAGGTAGGAATGTCAAACCGAGGAATTATGTATGACAGAAGGGAATAAATGACTGTGATGGCCTTCTCAGACCCTGTGGGAAAGGCCTCTACCCATCCAGTGAAAGTGGTTTTTTAGTTTCCTGACTCAGGGCCTTTGAGTAAAGTCAATTTGCCAGTCCTGGGTGGGGGCCAATCCCCAAGCTTGATGTGTAGGGAAGGGAGGGGGCCCGAACAATCCCTGAGGAGTGGTAGAATAGCAGATGGAACACTAAGAAGTGATTTCCTTGAGGATAGATTTCCATAATGAAAACGAAATGAGAGGTTCTAAGAGGTAGGCTAGCAGCTCGTAACCTACTTGGAAGAGGTTATGAAATGACGATAGGATAGAATGGGCCTGTGAGGCTGGAAGGAGATATTTTCCTTGGTTCAAGAACCATTTGCCTAGTGTGGGAAGAGATTGATAGGTGGAACTTTCAGTGGGAAAGTAGGTGGGAGTAACCAATAAGGAGAAAAGCTGGCTGTGAGGGACAGAAGTTTGAATGCTAGCTGCTTCTTTAGCTACCTTGTCAGCATAAGCATTGCCTTGAGCAATGGGATCTGATGCCTTTTGGTGGCCCTTGCAGTGTGTGAATCCAGCTTCCTTTGGAAGTAAAGTGGCCTTGAGAAGAGTTGTGTTGTTTTTTTTTTTTTATTAAAGAGACATCAATGATGGAGGACCCTTGCATAGTGAGGAAATCTCTTTCAGCCTATATAACAGCATGGTGGTGCAGGATATGGAAGGCATATTTACAGTCAGTATAAATATTGACACATAATTCCTTTGCAAGAGTGAGGGCTCGAGTTAAGGCAATGAGTTTGGCTTGCTGAGAGGTAGTGGAGGAGGGCAGAGCAGTAGCCTCAATGATAGATATGGAAGATACTACAGCATAGCCTACCTAATAGCCTGTGTGGCAATTAGGCCTGGTGGAACTGCCATCAATAAACCAGGTATGAACAAGGTGAGGAACAGGAAAGAAGGAAATATGCGGAAATGGAGTGAATGCCAGGTGTATCAGAGAGATACAGTCATGGGGGTCAGGTATGGTATCAGAAATAATGTGGGAGGCCAGATTGAAGTCTGGGCCAGGAACAATAGTAACTGTGGGAGACTCAACAGAGAGTGAGTACAGCTGAAGGAGCCGGGGAGCAGAAAGTATATGTGTCAGGTGTGAGGAAGAAAATAGATTTTGGAAGTTATGAGAACTGTAGAGAGTGAGTTGAGCATAGTTTGTGAGTTTTGACGGCCTCTAAAAGTTTTAAAGAAGTGGCAGCCACCACATGCAGACATGAGGGCTATGCTAAAACAGTAAGGTCAAGTTGTTTGGGCAGAAATGCTACAGGGCACGGTCCCAGTTCTTGTGTAAGAATTCTGACCGCACAGCCCTGTACTTCGGCTGTGTGTAATGAAAAGAGTTGGGATGAGTTAGGGAGAGCTAGTGTGGGAGCAGATTTTAGGGCTGCTTTTTAAGGAACGGAAAGGGGAGTGGAGAAAGGATTTAGGATTTATGGGGTCAGCTAGGTTTACCTAGAACAGAATGCATTGTGGAGGGAGGTACTGAGGATATGAGAGTATGTGGGTTTGGCACCATGGGGTGGATAAGCAAGACAATTTGGTTGATAAGGCACAGATCCTGAACTAACCTGTAAGACTTGTCTGGTTTTTGAACAGGTAAAATGAGGGAATTATAAGGAGAGTTTATAGGCTTTAAAAGGCCATGCTGTAACAGGAAAGTGACAACAGGCTTTAATCCTTATAAAGCGTGCTGTGGGATGGGATATTGGTGTTAAGTGGGGTAGGGTGATTAGGTTTTAATGGGATCGTAAGGAGTGCATGATCGGTTGCCAAGGAGGGAGTAGAGGTATCCCATACTTATGGATTAAGGTGGGGAGATACAAAGGGAGGATGCAAAGGAGGCTTTGAACTGGGGAAAAGGGCAGCAATGAGGTGTGACTGTTGCCCAGGAATAGTCAGGGAAACACACAATTTAGTTAAAATGTCTTGACCTGATAAGGAAGCTGGGCAGGTGGGGATAGTTTAAAAGGAGTGCATAAAAGAATGTTGTCCAAGTTGGCACCAGAGTTGGGAAGTTTTAAGAGGTTTAGTAGCCTGGCTGTCAATATCCACAATGGTTATGGAGGCAAGGAAACAGGCCCTTGAAAAGAAAGTAATGTGGAGTGGGTGGCCTCCATATTGATTAAGAAGGGCACAGACTTACCCTCCACTGTAAGAGTTACCCAAAGCGTCCATGAAGGTCCGGGAGGCTTCTGAGATGATCGGGCAGCGTCAATCTTCAGCTGCTAAGCCAAGAAGATCTGGGAAGGAGTCAGTCAGAGAACCTTAGGCCAGAGTTCCAGGGGCTCTGGGAGTGGCTGCCAGGCAAGTTGGACAGTCCGGTTTCCAGTGGGGTCCCACACACATGGGACACAGCTTAGGAGGAATCCCAGGCTGCAGGCATTCCTTGGCCCAGTGGCCAGATTTCTAGCACTTGAAGCAAGATTCTGGGGGAGGTGCTCCTGGAGGAACGCCTAGCCACTGTGGTTCAGACGTTTTAAAGTTCTTGTGTGCTGGAGATATGGCTGGGCTTTCTCTCACAATGGAGGCAAGTAATTGCAACTCAGAAATATGTTGCTACTTGGCTGCCTCTACTCTATTATTGTACACCTTGAAGGCGAGATTAATTAGGTCCTGTTCTGGGGTTTGAGGGCCAGAATCTAATTTTTGGAGCTTTTTCTAATGTCGGGAGTGGATTAGGTGATAAAATGCATATTGAGAATAATACAGCCTTCCTCTGGGGTCTAGGACAGTAAGACGCCTAAGGGTTGTTGCCAAACGGGCCATGAACTGGGCTGGGTTTTTATATTTGATGAAAAAGAGCCCAAATGCTAACTGATTTGGGAGAAGTTGGATAAAGAAAAAGGAGCATTAACCTTGACTATGCCTTCAGCTCCAGCAACCTTTTTAAGAGGAAATTGTTGGGCAGGTAGGGGAGGGCTAGTCAGGGAACGAAACTGCAAGCCAGACCGGGTGTGAGGCGGGAAGGTGATAAAAGGATTATAGGGTGGGGGAGCCGAGGCTGAGGAAGAATTGGGACCTGGCTTGGCCTGGCTGGTGAGCAGTAGCCTGGGGAGGAGAGGTCAGATGGGTCCGTAAGAAAGGAGGATTCAAAGGACTCAGAGATTGGGGTGGAGACTGAAGGAACAGACAGGAGAGAAAGAAGAAAGATTTGGGCTGAGTCGCATTGGGAGCAGAGACTAGGGAGGGACCGATGTGTAAAAGAATGCCTGGACGTCAGGCACATCACACCATTTGCCCATTTTTTGACAAAAATTATCTAGATCTTTTAGGATAGACAAATTGAAAGTGCCATTCTCTGGCCACTTGGAACTACTGTTGAGTTTGTATTAGGGCCAAGCAGTGTTGCAGAAGAAAATAAGAGATTCAAGTTTTAGGTCAGGTGTGAGTTAAAGAGGTTTTAAGTTCTTGAGAACACAGGCTAAGGGAGAAGAAGGGGGAATGGAGGGTGGAAGGTTGCCCATAGTGAAGGAGGTAAGTTTAAAGAGAAAGGTAGAGACATGGAGAAGGGGGTGGTGCGATGAGCAGCCCTGGGCTGTAATGTGGGTGAGCAGCCAAAGCAGGCATCCCCACAATTGATTTGCCACTGAGGGAATGTGGGTGAATGACCAAGGCAGGTGTCCCCATGGTGATCAGACACCAATGGAGTGTGGGTGAATAATCAGGCAGGCGTCCCCACAGTGATTAAACACCAAGGGAAGACTGTCTTCCCGGGTCTGTGACCAGCGCCGGAGTTTTGGGTCCGCAGATAAAATGTGTCTCCTTTGTCTCTACTAGACAGGAAAAAGAACTGGAATTGGAAGGACAGGGAGATTGAAAGGTGGAGAGAGAGGGAGATCGAAGGGTAGCAAGAGAGGCTGGAGAAGAGAATGAAAAGACCGCTTACCCGATTTGAAGTTGGTGAGATGTTCCTTGGGCTGGTTGGTCTGAGGACCTGTGGTCGTAGGTGGATCTCTTCACAGAGTGAGGGTGAGGACAGGGGACTGGTCTCCTGAAGGAGTCCCTCTGACTCGGATCTTTGGTACCAAATGCCACATGCATCTGTGCGAAGAGACCACCAAACAGGCTTTGTGTGAGCAACAAGGCTGTTTATTTCACCTGGGTGCAGGTGGGCTGCATCCAAAAAGAGAGTCAGCAAAGGGTGGTGGGATTATCACTAGTTCTTAGAGGTTTTGGGATAGGCAGTAGAGTTAGGAGCAATGGTTTGCAGGGCAGGGGGTAGATCTCACAAAGTACATTCTCAAGGGTGGGGAGAATTACAAAGAACCTTCTTAAGGGTGGTGGAGATTACAAAGCACATTGATCCATTAGGATAGGGCAGAAACAAATCATAATGGTGGAATGTCATCCGTTAAGGCTATTTTCACTTCTTTTGTGGCTCTTCAGTTGCTTCAGGCCATCTGGATGTATACATGCAGGTCACAGGGGATACGATGGCTTAGTTTGGGCTCAGAGGCCTGACAGTTCTCACTTCTCCAGAACAGCCAATGTTTTTTTGTTTTTTTTTGTTTTTGTTTTTGAGAGCGAGACACAGAGAGATAGAGACAGACAGACACACACACACACAGAGAAAGAAGTCCAACCAGAAAAAAGGAGAGCAGCTTCTTGTGAGCGAGAGAGAGAGAGAGACAGAGAAAGAGAGAGAGAAAGAGAGAGAGACAGAGAGAGACAGACAGACAGACAGAAACACACACACACACACAGAGGTCCAAACAGAAGAAAAGAGAGAGGAGAGCAGCTCCTTGTGAGAGAGAGAGAGAGACAGACAGAGACAGAGAGAGAGAAAGAGCCAGAAAGAGAGACAGGGAGAGACACAGAGAGACAGAGAGAGAAGGAGAGAGAGATGAGAGACATCCCAAAAAAGGGAGAAAGGCAGATGTTTAACCTCTCTCTGCCTTTCTGGTTCTGCCCCAAACTCCACTCTACTTCCTCTTCTTTCTTTTTCTTTTAGCTATTTATATCTCTCATAGAGGAGCTGAAAAACAGACCTCAGCAGAGCTATGGTTGTTTTATGTGAGCAGAAGCGGGTATCCTACTTAGCACATACACATGTGAGGAAAAGTGTCGGTATCTGTGTTTCTGCACTAAGGTGTGGGGTTTGTTTTCTACAATCCAGCCCCCTCCACAAGTTGGACCCAGGTGTTTGAGAACAGCCTGGTCAACACAGGGAGACCTCGTCCCTACTAAAAATTTAAAAAATCAGCCGAGCATGGTGGCTTGCATCTGTGGTCCCATCATTTTGGGAGACAGAAGCAAGTGGATTGCTGGAGCCCAGGAGTTCGAGACCAGCCTGGCCAACACAGGGAGGCCTCGTCCCTACTAAAAATTTAAAAAATTAGCCGGGCATGGTGGCTCGCACCTGTGGTCCCAGCTACTCAAGACCAGCCTGCACAGTCCAGTGAGATCTCGTCTCTACTAAAAAAAAAAATTAAATTAGCTGGGCGTGGTGGTACATGCCTCTAGTCCCAACTACTCAGAAGGCTGAGGTGGGAGGATGGCTTGATCCCAAAAGAGTGAAGCTGCAGTGAGCCACGATCAAACCACTGCATTCCAGCCTGGGCAACAGAATGAGACCTTGTCTCAAAAAATAAATAAATAAATAAATAAATAAATAAATAAATAATCCATCCTATATATTCCAAGTCAACATATATCCATATTACTCTCAATGGCTCTATAGTATTTGTTATGGATATATCATAATTTTTTCAACAAATTCTGTATTTGGGGACATTTATAAGATTTACAATTTTTTACATGTACACTGCCTTCAATAAAAACTCTTCTATGTTTGCTTTTCATACTCTTGTGTCACAGGGCAGATTCTCTACGAAAATCAACACTGAGATTAAGATGTGCATTGAAGATGTTTACTGCAGGACTGGCACAGGGCTCATGCCTGTAATCCCAGCACTTGGGGAGGCTGAGGCTGGAGAATCACCAGGTCAGGAGATCAAGACCATCCTGGCTAACACGGTGAAACCCCGTCTCTACTAAAAATACAAAAAAATTAGCCGGGCACGGTGGTGGGTGCCTATAGTCCCAGCTACTCAGCCTGAGACAGAAGGGAGAATGACGTGAACCCGGGAGGTGGAGCTTGCAGTGAGCCAAGGTCGCGCCACTGCACTCCAGCCTGGGCGACAGAGCGAGACTCTGTCTTTAAAAAAAAAAAAAAAAAAAAAAATGTTTACTGCAGAACAATCTTGGGGCAATACCTGCAGAGGGAGTGAAGGAAGCATGATCGGGCAGAAGGAGAGGTAGAATTTTGATGCAGTCACAACAAAGGCCTTGGCCAATCCCATAAGTATTCTAGCTTTCTTTAGAGCTAGATTGACCAAGCCTCTATATCCCCTTACTATTTATTAGATGTTGACTGTCGCTGGGGAGGAGGCCTTACTGTCAGCAGACTGGTTCTCTGTCACTGTTACAGTCTTGCCAATGCACCACAATGTAGCAGTCTCTCGCTGCCCAAGGTATCATCCTGAGTTCTTTGTGTCACGACCAAGAAAGTTAAGGATGCTGGACACCAAGGGTGAGTTTGGAGTGAAAGTTTAATAAGTAAAAGAAGAAAGGACCCAGAAGAGGATTGTTGTTTTTACAGTTGAATGCAAAGGCTTTTATAGGAAACCCATGAGGGCTGGGAGCCTCCTTTGCATAAAGGGTGAATTTATCATAGCCCCACCCTGTCTTCCTAACACGCATGCGGGCCCCTTATTGCACATGTGTCAGGGGACGGAATTTTCCATTGCAGGCATATATGAGCAAGTCACCTGTGTAACCCTTCTTATGTCTGTGGTCATGTCTTAGGCAAGCCCCTGTGCAAATTCCCTTATCTGTGCCTGCAGGTTGTTGTTTTGTTCGAAAGGATTAAACCAAGGACCCACCCTAACTGCCTGCCTGATCAGGCTTTTTCTTTTCTCCTCTGTCACCAAAAAGGCTATTTATTCCCAGAGAGAGACTCAGCTGAGAGCTAGCTGTTCATCACCATCACTAGTCAGTGGAGGGAATAAGTGCCGTGTTCCTGAAGTGGGGGACATGCACCACTGCATCTACTACACCTTGCCCAATTACTTCCTTGGCATACATTCCTAGATGTGTTTAGAGAACATGGACTTTTGATAAGGCTTTAGTTATTATCAGTTGCCTTCTATAAAAGTGGTATTTTGGCGAGGTGGCTCACCCCTGTAATCCCGGCACTCTGAGAGGCCCAGGCAGGCACATCAGGAGGTCGGGAATTTGAGACCAGCCTGACCAATACGGCAAAACCCCATCTGTACTAAAAACACAAAAATTAGCCAGGTGTGGTGGCGGGAGCCTGTAATCCTGGCTACTGGGGAGGCTGAGGCAGGAGAATCACTTGAAACAGGGAGGCGGAGGTTGCAGTGAGCTGAGATCATGCCATTGCACTCCAGCCTGGGCAACAAGAGCAAGACTCTGTCTCAAAAAAAAAAAAAAAAAAAAAAAAAAAGTGATATTTCACTTCTAATAGGAGAGCAAGAGACCATTTTTTCTCCTCTGTCAAACAATAGCATGCCCTTGCCTGCTCTTTTATCTGTGATTCCACACCATTTCACACATTCTCTATTATACCACGTCTCACATTCAGTGGGAATTCTTTCTTCTCGGTCTCCTAAAATACACTGTTTTTGAGAACAGAAAGGGTGTTTTATTCACACTTATATCTCCTGATCATGTACCATGTATACAGTCAGTCTCTAATTAATACATGTTAAGTAAATTAATGTCTCATTGTAGAAGACTAGGGAGTCACAGAAGATTAACTGACTAGAAACAAATAAAATACTATACAAAAAAAAATTAGACATGGTGCAGAATCAAAACATGGTTGTGGAAGAAATGGAATGTAACTACCCAGTGGGTTCACCTTGCCCACAGTCTACACAGAGCCAATTTATCAAGACAGGGGAATTACAATGGAGGAAGAGTAATTTACACAGAGCCGGCTGTGTGGGAGACTGGAGTTTAATTATTACTCAAATCAGTCTCCCCAAGCATTAGGGAAAGCAGAGTTTTTACGGAAAACATGGTGGGTGAGGGGAAGCCAGTGAGATATGAATGCTGACTGGTCAGTTAGGAAACAAAATCATAGGGAACTGAAGCTGTCCTCTTGTACTGAGTCAGTTCCTGGGTGGGGGTCACAAGATCACATGAGCCAGTTTATCAATCTGGGTGGTGCCAGCTGATCCATCAAGTGCAGGGTCAGCAAAATATCTCAAGTACTGATCTTAGGAGGAGTTTAGGGAGGGTCAGAATCTTGTAGCCTCCAGCTGCATGACTCCTACACCATAATTTCTAATATTGGGGCTAATGTTAGTCCTACAAAGGGAATCCAGTTCCCAGGCAAGAATAAGGTCTGCTGTGGGAAAGGGTTGTTATTGTTTTTGTTTTAAATGACTAACTATAAACCAAGTTTCCCCCAAAGTTAGTTCAACCTACTCCAGGAATGAACAAGGACAGCTTAAAGCTTAAAAGCAAGATAGAGTCAGTTAGGTTAGATCTCTTTCACTGTCTCAGTCATAATTTTGCAAAGATGGTTTCAGGAAGGTGTCATGATGTGTACAATATCATCTGAAAAAAAAAAAATGAGAAACCTAGCTCTTCAATAAAGAGGCAACAATTAATGACTGCCACTGTAGAAGGGTGAATTATCGAAAACAGAGAAGTGGTGTAATAAATATAGATCAAGTAATATAAAAGGTCAGGGACAAAAGTGTGTTTTTTTCCCCAGCTTTGCTACTTATAACTTGATGAGACTTTTTGATAAATCTTTTTGGAAGCTCTTAAAAACTACCAATGCCAACCAGGTACAGTAGCTCATGTGTGTTAATCCCAGCACTTTGGGAGGCCAAAGCAGGCAGAACACTTGAAGTCAGGAGTTTGAGACCAACCTGGCCAACATGGCAAAACCCCTTGTTACAAACAATGTTTTGGCGTCACAAAAGAAATAGTACTCGAACATAAAATTTTCTTTTTAATTCTCAGCAAGGCAATGTACTTCTATAGAAGGGTGCGCCCTTACG